CCTCCACTCCCCTGAATACTAAGATTGAAGTCTTTTTGCATTTGGAGGAAAAAGGGTCCCACTCTGGATTTGGGGATGGGGACGAATTCGCTGGTCCAGGTGCAGAAACACAGTCACTCTGGAGTGAGATGGGCTGGGGGTCCGGGCAGCGGTTAAGAGTGTGTGTCTTGGCTTCTGACACTCAGCCGGGAGCCTGAGGGCCAGCCGCTGGGGGCCTCTTGCCCCCGACCCCGCACCACACGCAGCCTCTACGGCAGCCAGCCCCGGGTGATGCCCGCAGCAGGACATGCAAACGGCAGGTGCACGAACAGAGCCGTCCATGCATCGTGGTGAGTGGTGCAGGGACACCGGCTGGCCACCGGCAGAGAGCTTTCAGAGGAACGCGGTCCAAGCCACTTGTTGGAGCCTGGCTCTTGCCTGCAGAACGGCACGCCTATAGGCGAGGCAAGGTCTGTTCAAACAAAGAATAGGTGGGAGCCAGACCAAGAAAAAGGGTAGGCAGGACCCCAATCAGTGTGGTCAGTGGGTTTCCTAACAGGGCTACCCCTTCCTCTCCTCCTCCCCATGACTAATGTCTGCTCCAGCACGTACAGTGGGTTGAAAGACATCTGATGAAATGATGATCTGAGATTTCCCTGCAGAGCAGGAAAAAAGCAACAGAAGGTAGTCCTAGATACAAGTCCTTTATTGTCGTGCCTCCCAGCAGGTGAGGCCAGGCTTACACAGAGGCCAGTTAAGGACAGGGCCACATTCACAAAGACACAGTAAGTTCTCTATATGCAGTAGGTTAAGGCAACTTCTCAGTTTCTAGAATATTGTGGCGACCCGTATCCATGGGCCAGCCGGTTCCAGAAGCCCGTCTTGCCCACTACTGGGCCGCCTGGAATTGCTAGTGGCACTTGCACGGGGTGTCTCAGGGGCAGAAGCAGGAGGGGAAGGGGGCACACGGGAGGCTGCAGGACAGGCAGGGCGGGGCCCTTGTGCTACACTAGAAAGTGGGGGCGATGAGAACGGAGCCGAACTCTCCCAAGGCACACAGAAGACGGGGCTGGGAACCTAATCTGCTCCCTTCCAGGAAGATGACCCAGGCACCTGGTCTCCCAGCAGGGTCACAGACCCACACAGAGGGCAGAGCAGACGCCGCAAGAAGGCACGGCAGAAGAGACGCATTCGTGGTCTGCACTTGTGCAGCGAATTGGCTGGGCTCCCGCCAGACATCCTGGGGATGCTGAGGGTTGATGCGCATACAAAGGAAGGTGGCCAAGCGTCCTTGGTGGGGTGGTCTGAAGCAGCGGTCCTCAGAGGGTGGGTCCAGGGGCCAGCAGTGCCAGCATCACCTGGGAACTTGTTAGGAACGCCAAGTTCTCCGCCCCGCACCTGCAGAGGTGACGCTCTGGGCGTGAGTCCTCTGGGTGACCTGATGCATCCTTTGGCTTGAGAACGTCTGGTTCCAAGATGTCACTAGCACCCTCGGCCACGTGAGCGCCACCCAGCAGTGATAAAAAGGACGCTTTTTCTCCGTAGCTAGTCAACCGCCTTCCCCTAGTCCTCCCCTTCTCTCCCCAGGCCCCAGGTGGCCAGAAGTGGAGAATGTTTGCAAGGCTGAAAGCAGGGTGGGCGGGGATGAAGGTGTTTCAGTCCACTTATTCTGCCTCCAAACCCTGGGATGGACCAGAGGGACCGATTCAAAGACCCAGACTGACTGCAGGGCACGGGGATTCTGGGAGCACATCACTGCCCCACCCCAATCCCCAAGGGTTGCACTGGTCCTTCCAGGCCTAAGTGGCTATGACCGTGCACTGGCTGAGGGGCCTGAAAAGATTCCAGGCCATCAGCTCTGTGAGACAGAGAGCACACTGTGCACCCCCCACCCACCCCGGAACCCTGCAACAGCAATACAGGGGAGGGAAAGGTAGTTAACATGGCCCCCTAGGGGGTCTCCTCCCCACCTAGGGTGGCTCTGAGTGCCTGTGTCCTGGGACTTTTCCCCCGGGGCCCCACAAGGGGCAGGGACAGGTCTTTGCCATGCCCTCACGCCAGCCCTCCGTGCCCCGAGATGTGCTCTCTCCTAGGTGCGAGATTCCGCATGCCCTGTGCGGTTCCCTTGCTGAGGTCCCGTCTGCTCTCACCCAGAGTCAGCACCGGCACCCGAGGCAACAAGCAGGCCATTCCCCTAGTGGTGGTCCCCAGGGACCCCGCCTGCTGCCTGAGCCACCCCACCACCTGGATGTCCATGGGAAAGAAGCCAGGCCGCTCCGCTGACTGCAGATGCGGTGTGGTTCGTCTGCTCTGGCAAGGAGGGCAGGCTGCTGCTACTGGACGGTGACCCCCGAGGGACACGCTGTTCCTGAACGTCAGCCTGACAGTTTCCTGCAGAGACGGAGAGCAGGAGGACACCGAGCAGCGGGGGTTCCCAGCCCAGCTCCCCTGGCTGCCACCTGGCTGGGGGTGCACGACAGCAGCCACGGCCACTGACTTGCCCATCTCTTAACAGCTCGGAGCCTTAATTTTGTTGTCTGTAGAGTGGGAGACTGTAGCTTGTTGTAGCGATCAGTATGAGAGAAAGCACTTATGTGACTAGCACATTCTAAGCGCACAGTAGGCCCTCAGTAACCACCAGGACCTGGATGCTCCCCTTTAGCGAGGCCTGAGCACTGCTCCCCTCAGCGCCCCCTGCCCCGGATGTGGGGCAAGGCTCCCGGGAGATGTAAGCAGAAGAAAGTTTCATAGACCTTTGAAGCAAGTCTCATTCCCTCACCAAAGGCTGAATTTCATTCCTGCCTCCCCAAGAAAATGAATGAGTGAAATGAATGAGACGGGTCATCCCGAGTGGGGGACAGGCCATGCCACCTGAGGGTGGCTGCCCCAGGGCGCGGGCAGAGGGAAGGGTCAGGATGTGTACTCAGGCCGCGTGGTTTCCAGCCACTGCCTTGGCTTCTTTTCTGGGTCCCTGTGTGCTCACGCACGACTGATAACAGCTTTCAACAGTCGTGATGCCCTTCTCTCTCCCTCCAAGGAACTCGTGAGCACGTCAGCCTCCAAGCAGTGTCCTGGGTGCAGATCCGCTCAAGTAGGGCGGGCGCCTCCTGGGCTCTGGACTCCAGCCTTCAGCGTGTCCTGAGCCAGAGCCAGCTGTATCCTGGGCCTCCGTTCCCTCTCACTCTGCCTTCCCTCAGTGCTGTGGGCACAGATAAGCAGAGGAGTGTTTTCTAAAACTCTGGGTCATTCTGTCTCTGCAGCTTGGACCCTCTGTCCTCCTGCTGCTGTCAGGGTGGGACAGTGCCCAGGGTAGAATCACAGCTAATCCCACCCTCCGCCCAGATGACCTAATCCCACGTGGGGCCGGGGCCAGGATGTCTGCCAATCACCCCGTCCCACCTCCACAAGCCCCGCTGACCTCAGGTACCACAGGACCCAGACCTTCCCCGGGCATCACCGCCTCCCACAGGCCCCTCCAAGAAAGAATGCATCTTTCAGCCCTCCCTGTCAGTCTGCCTCCTAGCCCTGCGGAGAGCTTGGGGATCAGTCATTTCCCAATTGCCTGCACAAGTCCCAAGGAGTTGGAGGGTAGCAAACATAGCCCCTGTACTGTTTCTTCCAGCCTTGGTGCCGTCCAGGATTTCTGGAAAGCTGGTCTCCCTGTTAATGAGTTTGCATCAGCAACCTCAGGGTCCTGGGGGCAGAGGGGATAAGCCAGCTGGGGTTCCAATAGCTCCCGGAGGACCGCCAGGGTCGGGAAGTCATCCGCCCTGGGAAGCTGGTCCTCCCTCTGTGCGTGTGCGTAATCCGTGTTCTGAGGGGACAGAGCTTCTGTCCAACTGGGGGCTGTGTTTGGGGGCAGCAATGACCTGTATTTGGGAGAGAGAATGCCCTTCACCCAGGACTGATGCAGGTTACCAAGAGCTGTGGTCATCACACTGGGACCTGGAAGGAGTTGCGAGGCAAAGTATGACTTTTCTTGGCCTTGATCTTAGCAACAAGGGGCCACCGTCTCATGGTAGGGTGTGAAAGGTTCCCCAGCATGGGCAGCACGGGACCTGGAAGATACAGGAGCTGGGTGCCAGCTTCTCTGGCTACAAGCTACCTACCTGGGACAGTTCCCCCTTGGGGCAGGTGGGGGGTCCCCGTGCCTGACTTTCAGGTTGACACCTGTTCTTTGGAAGACTGCCAGCATCTGTACTGTCCATTTTCCAGGGTTTTCCTTTTGTTCCATTCTCCCTTAGTATTTGAGAAAGTTCTTCCTGAAAAATTCCCCGCCTGATTCAGGGAAGCAAGGGAGAATGAAGGAAGGGACTGCATTCACTCTGGGAAGCGGAGGAATGGCTCCTGGAGGCGGCTCATTGGTGGCCATGTGGCCAGGGACTGTGGTCCCTGGAAAAACGGGGTTCAGGACAGAGCACCCCTCTACTCAGAGCTGCTCCTTCTCTGTGGCTCTAGCTTTGCCGGGTCTGTGATTTGGCCTAATCAAGAAGGGTTTTTCACTCCCACCAACAGGAAGAGCTGGAGATCATTTTAAAAACCTGGCATTCCTGAGAATTAGGCCATAGAGAGGAGATCCCCGAGGGGCGTATTACTGTGGACTGGGGCTCAGGGTCATGGTCTCCTGGGGGACTTCTCCCAGGGATGGCTTCTGGGCAGTACCCAGGGTCCTGGGGCAGTATGTGCCCGTGTGGTGGTCACTTTACCTGCCTTGGTCCCCTCCCTGGCTCTGCCACCAGCTATCTCTGCCTAACCCCAGCTCCAGGGTCCTAACTGCACACCTAACTGCTGGGCACTACGGGAAGGAACCAGTGGCCCTGGAAGGGCACTCCCTTACAGGTGAGAAGGTATGGGGGTGGGCACATCAAAGGGCTGGGTCTTCTGAGGGCAGAGCTGACCCTAACTGCCCCCACCCTAAGTATTTCCCAATGGGGAGAGAAAAGGACTCCAAGCAGGGATAAGAGGAGGGGTGCTCAGCACCAGTGGGAGCTCACGTGCCCAATGCAAAGAGTCCCAGGGAGGCTGGAGTCTTCGGACCTTCATTCCAGTTTCCGGAGCTGGGAGGGAGCAGAGGCTCTGATTCTCACCCTCCTGTAGTCCACGGACCCCCCCACGGCTGGTGAGGGGAGGGGCACTGATGGATGGGTTCCCCGCTCGGGGATCCTGGCAGTGAGCATGTGGAAGTGGAGGGAGGGAGCCTAGGGACCCTGGTCTGGCGGGGAGAACCACAGCGGTCAGGGTCTTGGGCACTTGGTAGGTCCAAAGGGGCTTGGCAAAGCGGAGGGGCTGTTTCTGGGAGTTTCTGGGCAAGCTGAGGCTGACTCCGCAGGCCTGGAGGGTGGGATCTCGGCCCCTGTCCTTGGGAAGGGCCGTCAGAGGGGGAAGCAGTTGGCGGTTAGTAAAAATGCAGCTGGAGCCTCTGGTGTAGGCAGCAGGTAAGAACCATCCCGCAGATCTGCCGGGTGGAGAGAGCAGAGGGGCAGAGAGAAGTCAGAAGCCCAGGAAGCTGCTCTCCCCGGACTGCCCTGGGGCAGGGTGCTCCCACTCGGGTGCCCACATGGGGACCTTGACAAAGGGCAGATTCCAACTCTCGGGAGGCCTGGGGTAGGGCCGGGAGATTCTGCATTTCTAAGAAGCCGTCCACTACGTCCACTACGGGTTTGCCGTCCACTACGGGTTTGCGGCCGCCAGAGATGGTCTAATTTAACTAGATCCTGCAGGGTCTTTGTTCCACTCCTCATGGCTGTCTGAAGCTGTTCTTCTCTAGGACAAATTCTGTCTGTGTCTTGCTGCTCTCAGACTCCAGAGCAGAACTAAGGTTCGTAGTCAAATCTCTGATGGACAAAAGCCGCGGGGGAAACTGAGGGACATCCAGAGCTGTCACCAACTCACCCTGGAAGTCAGCTTGCAACGCGGCCCGCGCCAGCCCGGGAAGCTGGCCTGACAGCCCCTCGTCACGTCCACTAGCTGAACAAGGAGGCATGAGAGCGTCCTGCCCAAAGCAGGATAGTCCAGGAAAGTCACCGTCCCCCTGCAGGGCCTCAATTTGCTGATCTCTAAAATGCCGGACAAGAAGCTGGGGCTGTGTCAGGCCCAGGAGGCCCATGACAGTGGTCTTGCTGTGACAGCGATGCCATTGGATCCTGACTCCCTGCACACAGGGCGGAGGCGCCATGAGGGCAGCCCCGTGACTCTCCTGTGGCAAGTGGGCAAAGATGGACTTCCCTAGAGACGGGGAACATGCCCCCATCGCTCCCAAATGTTTCCAACAGCTGCTGCTGACCGGATCTTGCCAGAGCACGTCTGGGGGCGCCCGGAGCTCTGACCAGTGGGAGGAGGGGAGGCTGGTGGAGCCGCCTAGGTGCTCGCAGGCATCTAGATCCTCCTTGCAAGGCTGGCTTAAGCAGGGGGCTCAGGGGGAGCGCTGCTTCTTGCCCCTTCTCCCGCACTCTCCATGCCTGCCTGGGAGGATGGTGGGGCCCCGCGAGCACAGCTTCCAGCTTTCAGACTCGGTACTCAGAGCTGTGCTGATCCACATCTAGACTCGGGGCCCCAAGCTGAAGGCGGCCCGCCAAGTTGTCTCCTCTCCCACAAGCTTTAGCAGGGTCTATCACAGCCAGGCCACCCAGGTGTCGTGAGGCACGCCCTCTTCCCTGTCCCCACCTTGTGCTTTGATGGCTAATCTGTGCGGTTACCTGGATCTTTCTGGTTCTTGCTGAGAGGGAAGCCATATGGGAAGAGTTGGCCCAGCACAGACTTGTGGCCACATCTTCTATGGTGTATGGTCTGTACCAGGGGCTTAGGGGAGTAGAGCTTCCTCCCAGGGAAGGCACATGAGCGGGGAAGGTGTATGGGCCAGAATCTTATCGTGCATATCCACACACACCACCCCCACCCCCGGATACATGCAGAGGGGTCAAGGATGCACTCATCAACACATACGTGCACACACACAAGCACCCTGATTCGTACAGAGGAGTCCTGGATGCCCTCTGATCCCTGAGCGAGCCCCAGTGTCTCCTTCCTGATGGAGAAGCACCAGTGGCTTCAGGTGGCCAGCAGGATGAGCAGAGAAAATGTGGGACAAGTTAAGCGCGGAGGCGGGAAGGGTGGGGACTGGATGGGGGTGGTGCGTGACCCAGCCGGTGGGAGCAGGGCTGCATGGTACCTGGCGCCCTCACCCGGCAGCCTGCCTAGGTACAGCATTTGTCCCTGATGGGGCCATTTGAACAGGGAGGGGGTGTGCTTTCAGGTTCTTTTGAGATTTTTGGGCCAACACCTGATTGTTATCAAGAGCATCAAGGAAGGGCCAGGGAGGTCCCAGGAAGCCAATCCAATATGATCTTTCAGTTTCCCTTTTAATGATCTGCAGACCCCAATGTTGGCGGTCTTGTGAATTTTCCTGGCTCTGTGACATGTTCCAGTCTGGAACCTCGGGGTGGGAGTAGGGTAGTTTCTCTTTGGGGCTGTGGGAACTTGGGCACAGTTATATCCCTCTCTGAGCCTCAAAACTCCCTTTATCAATAGGAAAACCTCCAGACTATTCACTGGTTGACAGCCTACCCTGGAGAGATTCTTTAAAAACGAGGATGATAGGAACAACATCACGGTTCCCCCTCCACACCCTGAGCCTTGGAGAGGCCAGAAAGTGGCTCTCCTGAGCCCTCAGGATAAAGCTCTTCCCCCATAGCAGCCAGCAGGGCTGTACAAATCCAATTCCCTCACGCTACCACTCTTCCCCCTCTTGATTCTTCTTGTCAGACTCCTTCAAGATTTAACTATCACTTCCCCCAGGAAGCCTTCCCTGAGTGCCCATGACAGGTTATAGCCTCCTATGAGCTCCCCCAAACACCAAGTCTCACACTTGCACAGCACCCCTGACTGCAGGCGACAACCTATGTTCTGTGTGTCCCCTCCCTTGAGTGAAAGCTTGCTGGGAGAAGGGGACACATCCTGCCCACTTGTGGGCCCGGCACGGGGCGCAGAGCAGCTCTCCCTTCAGCCTCTGCATGGAGGCTTCCAGAGTGTGTGTGTGAGCAGGGCAGTAGGAAAGGGAGCTGAGCCACTACATCCTTTCAGGACAGAAGTTTCCCTGCCAGAGTCCGTCCATAAGAGGAGAAGCTGGTGGCTGTGTGGCCGTAAGCCGGTGAGTATAACATGGGGCTGGGTGTCTTCAGAGGCATAGGAACAGGGTGGGCCTAGCGTTCTCTACCCCAGGTGCACAGTGGGATCGCCTGCGGGGCTTTAAAGAACACCCACAGCCAGGCCTCATCCCAGACAGTCTGAGCCTGATCCCATAAGACCAGGGCTCACTGCATCTTCTAGAAGGAAGAGTCTGATTTGGAGGCACCTCAGGGCCCCAGTTATCCCTTTGCAGTCTGAAAATCCCGAGTCATGAATCCCATGCCTGGGGTGGACAGAGGGGCCCTGCAGGGTCTTGCTGGAAGGAACAGGTGCATGCCCAGAATGTCCGGCTGCAGCGTGGGAGGGACGAGCCACCTACCAAGGGCAGGGCGCCCCGCTGCAGTGTCCTGGCCAGACCCCCGGCTTTGCTGCACCTGCAGCCAGACACAGCTTTGTGCTGAGCAGGGACTGCTGCTAGAAAATTCCCATTGTTAACAAATTCTCCTGTCTTTCTCCTTATAAATTCTACCCATGGCTCCTGTCTGTCCTCTGGTCCCTTCTGGGAACGTCCCCTTACCCCCTGACCCCGAACCTGCCTTTGGGTGCTTAAGGACTTCAGTGATGGTGCCATCTTCTCCTGGCCCCTGACCTCTCCCACGTCTGACTTCCAGGTGCCCCGTGGCTCCTGTCACTCACATGGGCCAGTGTTCTCAGCCTGGCTGCACACGGAACCCACCAGGGAACTTTACAGGATGCTGGTGTCTGGGTGCCAAGCCCCAGATGGTGTGATTTGACAGTGCTGGGGTGAAGCCTGGCCAGTTCTAAAGCTTGCCAGGTGGCCCCCTTGTGCAGCCAAGGTTGAAGCCTGCGGCCACAGAGGCTCTGTGGAGATCCTGTGTCCCTCCTGCCCACCACCATTATTAGTGTCTGGTCCACACCACCATGGGGCCACAAGACACTCGTGGCCAAACCCCAAACAGTCACATTTTCTGCTTGGCATTCACAGCATTTACAAGACGTGCTTTGAACTTCTAGAATATTGCAGCACATGAGTCTCACTGAGGCATCCTTACCTAAAATCATGGAACCTTAGAGCCCAACCCCTGCATCAACCCGAGCAGCTCCTCCCCATGTCTCATCTAGGTGAGACTTCCGCAGATCAGGAAAGACTGCCTCTTCATGGAAGGCTTGAAAACGTCCGCCTCCTCCGTTTTATAGGAAAGGAACCCGAGGCTCAGAGAGGGAATGTGACTTCCTCAAGGTCACATACTAAGAGGGGAGGCCCTCTGACTTCATAGCAAGGTCTCTTCTGGTCCTGGAGACCAGGGAAGCAGGACACCGCCTTATCTGAGCCTTGGGGGTCTTGGAAGGACCAGGCTGGGGGCATGGGTGGGGAAGGTGCCTGGCGCCTGCTCTGGTACATGAGGACTGGGAGCCTGGGCCCAGGCCAGGCCTGAGCCCTTCCTCCCGGCTGGCGGCCAACCTGGGCTTGGGGAGCTTAGTTCCAGCATCGGCCAGCAGAGGGAGCAGTGACCAAGGCTTGGCTGCCGTAGCGCCAGCAGGAGCCTGAAGGAGGGGAGAGGCTGGACAACGGTGGAGCCCACAGGGGAGGCCAGAGGAAGCTCCTTCTGAGGGACAGCGAGCTGAGGGGGACCGAGGTTTCATGGGTGTGTGTGTGTGAGGAGGAAGCCTCTGCAGGCCCGCTGGCAGCCTGCCTGACAAGATGGTCCCCTGGGCAGCATCTGCCTCCCCCCTTGTTTCACCCTGACCTTAGGCTTGGGGTACTGGCAGATCCCTCCCTGACCCGGGCCTCACTGGCCCTGTCCTCAGCTTCTACAGGCTCCCAAGGCCAGAGAGGTCAGGAAGAAAGGGGTGGAGAATGTGGCCCCGGCCTGGTCAGTGTTCACGCTGCACAGGTCCCACACACCTGAAGCAGACGGCAGGTTTCTGGAAACTTCAGTGAAGTTTCGCAGGAAGTTCCCGGCCTGCCTGCGAACCAGTGGGGTGGAGGGGCAGGAAACAACTTTCTGAGAAGGCTTTTTCGAGAGACAATGTGCCCACGTGGAAATGAATCAAATAATGATGGATACCATTTATTGAACACCTGCTATCTGCTCAGCGATGAGCCAAGTGATTTACATATATATTGCTAATCCTCTCACCAAACTAGGGATAATTAGCCCCATTTTACAAAAGAGGACCTGGGGCCCAGAGATGGAATAACCAGCCCCGGGTTGCCGGGTGCCCCCTCCAGTGGGTAGAGCCCCGAGGGCGAGGCTACTGCTAGATCCCCCGGGCACACAGGCAGACGTGGCCGGGCCGCGCGGTGATCTGGGAGGAGCCCCACCACGGCAGGTTCTCCACGCCAGCTGCTGCTACAGCCCCGGCTTTGCTTTCCACAGAACTCTCTGCTGGGGCGGGGTGCGGGGGGTGCTGGAAGGAGCTGGGGAAAGCAAAAGACCAAGAGCCAGGAGACCTAGGTGCCTGTTCAGGATGTGACACCCTCGGGAAGTCTTTCCTCTGGGTCTCAACTTTCTGATCTGTAAAATGGGAGAATGGGGACACTCGCCGGGTGCGGGTCTCAGGATGTGGTGGGGATCTGATGACAGAAAGTACCTGAGACTGCTCTGAGGTCTGCAGATAGCTGGACAACAGCCGCGTGCACTTACGGGGAAAGCTTCATGTGTGCCGGGCACAGAGAGTGGGTCACATTCATCACCTCATTCTGATCTAGACCTTACGTGTTGGGAACATGATCCCCATTTTGTGGAGGAAGCCGTGGTGGGGCAGGGATGTAAGTGCTCTGAGGGGCACAGGACCAGAGGCAGGGTTGGCCCCGGGCCTCTGATGCCCCAGCCACTGCTCTCACCCGTCCCCTGGTCAGTGCCTGTGGTCCTAGGAGCGGGAAGGGCCGGGCAGCCTGGAACTCCCTCTAGCACCCACTGGGCCCTTGCCCCCTGTATCTGCCCCACCCCAGGGTGCCCTTCCTGACTCCCCTCTATGGACCCTGGACTGGAGCCACTGCGAGAGCACCACTGACATCCTGGGGGGTAGCGGGGGGCCAGATGGAGCCCTGAGACAGCAGAAGGCCTAGCTCAGAGTGGAGACCTGGGTGTGCACAGGGAGCATACATCCATTAGTACATGTGCGTGTGCACGCACACACACACAGGGACGAGTGCACATACATGCACATACACACACGTGCACAAGCACACCTATACACATATCCATGCAAACAACCCCACACAGGCTGAGATGCATGCGGACAGCCCGCGGCCCACACACACCCCAGCAGGCTGTGCATACACGCCCACGTGCACACACACGGTGCAGGCACATACCTGAGCCCACACGCACGCACACTCCTCCCAGGTCTCTTACAAGTTCAAGAGGGCCCCCGAGGCCCCCGGGCATTTTCCTTCATCTTTTCTGGGGAAAAGAGTGACTATGTGTGTCACCCTTGGCTGCTGAGGGAAGGTGGGGAGAGGAGGAGGGGAGGGGAGGGGAGGGCAGGGCAGCACAGGGGTGTGCAGACGGTAGGTGATTTGCTATCCCCGCCAATGGAGAGGGGTTCCCAGATCTTCTAGACAACACCCTGTCCCAGGTCCACCCCCACCAAAACTCACCTGCAGACAGGCCACCCCGATGCCCACTGCCCCCATGAGCAGCAGGTGGTCAGCCAGGAACTGTTCTAGCTTCGTGATGCAGCCTCCCTGTAAAGTAAGGGCAGGTGACACAGGGTGGCCCGGAAGCCGGCGAGGCCGGGGAGGGGAGGGCTGGCAGGGGAGCTGAAGGCAGGCCAGAGGCTTAAATGGTCTGGTCCAGCCTTTGAGTTGCCCACAGGCTTTGCAGGTGACCCAGGGGCCTGCCATGACGTCTCAGAATTCCCCAGGGCTTTGTGCAGACCGTTTAGGGCCTCTTCTTGCCTCAAGGCCAGTGTGTAAGTGTGTCCTGTGCCCCCGGTCCCCGTGTCCCTGTCCCTTGCGGGTTGGGGGGGGGGGCTCCTGGATGGCTGGGACCTTGGGCGCTTACCTCCACCTTGTAGATGTTGGAGGGATGGGCCCGCTGGCCACAGCGTGTCACCACTGTCTTGCAGCAGCTGTCCGGCACCTGGCGGCCCTCGGCCTCCTGAGACAGGATGTAGGTGCTGTGCTGCCAGTCGGCAGAGCTGTTACTCCCACAGCACTTGAACTGGAGGCAGAGACAGAGGCTGGGGGCAAAGAGCGCACATGGGGCCCCTCCGGCCCCTCCATGGCGGGGCCGCAGGACGCATTATTTGGATATTAACCCAACCCCTCTTTGTTCTCCCTGTGAGTTTTCCTGTGCCTATTTTGAGCAAGGAGCTAGTCTCTTTGGGGCCCTTCTGTCCCTGCAGGTACAGAAGCCAGCTGAGAGACCACTTCTGACCACCCAAGTCCTATAAGGAGATGATGCTGGGGGTCCTGAGGGCAGGGAGGGTCTGTGAGAAGATGAGTGGGAAGTAGAAGCAGGTGGGTCCCTGAGAGAGTGGGGCTGTATATTCCTGGGCAGAGCCCAGGGCAGGGCCAAGACCATACAGTGGCGGGAGTCACCCAGGGGGCAGGTACCCAGCCTCGCTAGAGGCTCCTGGACCCTCACTGAAACCCTGAAGCCTCAGAACCCTCAGATCTGCAAGGACACAGAGGGTCCCAGAGCCCCAAAGCGGGCAGGTCAGTGCTGGCCGGGGGGCTCCAGAACAGGAAAGTGCCCTCCTGGACTCCGGTGACACACAGGACATTGCTTCTCTCTTGCCCTTCTGAGAGGAGGAGCGGAGACCCCAAGTCCCCACGTGAGCCACAGAGCCAGCTGTTTTGAGGCCATCTCTGGTGTGTGGGCAGCAGGCAGGGTGAGAGGCACCCTTAGTTACCAAGCATGTGCTAGGCACCTACTGTGTGCCAGGAATGAGGCTAGCTGGGGCTCACATGAGCCATGTGGTTCCCGGCTTTCTGACATGTCTCGGTGGCTTACTAGGAGAGACCCAAGGAAATGGGGCTGCTGAGTAGCTCCGAGGAGGAGGGGTGAGCGGCTTGGTTCATGGGCCCAGAAGGGCACAAGGAAGAGGAGGAGCTCCCAGGAGTCAGGCAGGACGGAAGGGCACACGGAGCTGGGAACGGCAGGGAGTGTGCCAGAAGTCATGTGGGATTATACTTCTGCGTGTCCCCTGCACAGGTGACTCAGCCTCTCTGGACTTCCGTTTTGTCACCTGTCAACGGGGCTAACGATGTATCCCCACACCGGGTTGTGTGAGGGCCAGGAGAGGTGGTTCTGGGAAGCCCAGAGAAGGGAGCCCTGCAGGGCTGAGCCGCCAGGAAAAGACTCCCTCTCGTGATGCTCCTTTCCTGAATACAGGTGTGTGGGCGCCGTGGGACATAGCGGGGCGCAGCCCACAGCCCAGATGCTGGCCCTGGCCTCAAGCCACCGCCTTCTCGGGGCTGTTTCCTCAGGCCTAGGCTGCAGGCCAGTGCCCAAGTTCCCTCATGCCCCCTGGTTCTGGCTGTGGCTGGCACGTGTGGGGCGAGAGCCACATGTTCTGGTGCCCATGGAGGCCCTTGGTGGTGACAGACGCTGGCTCCCAGCGGTGCCCTTCCTCATGCTGTTCTCCGCTCTCTGACTGTCCTTCCTGTCCTCCCCACAGAGGCAAACCCAGGCCCTCCTTCCTGGTCCCCCCAGTTGGCCTCCCCAGCTCTTCCCTCCACTCTGAGGGGCCTCCCAGCCTAGCGCTGGCTGTCTGTGCCTGCTGTGTGCGGGTCTCCGGACAGAAGGCCGTGAGGGCAGGGATTCAGGCTTAGTTTCTCATGAGGGGGGCCCCACAAGTGCAGACTGAACTTCGGACAGGGCTGACCAGCAGGGTGTGCGTGGGCTGAGCACGTGGGTGTGGGTGTGGGTGTACCTGTGTGTACACGGGGGCCCTTAGCCACTAGAGCAGAGCCCAAGAGACACCTCTGTGCAGAGCCTACTGGGAGCTAAGCCAGCCTTGGGGAGATGAGGCAGGCGCCTCTCCCATTGAACTGAGATCCCCTAGCGCTCTGAGCCCCACTAACCTCGGCTCTGACGACTTCCCTGGTATTCCTGGCAAAAAGACCTAGGCCTCAGGCCCAGGGAGGGGTGTGTAGTTACAGAGGTGGCAGGCTAAGGCTAGGGGTGGGTTGGCAGGGAGAAGGGGGACCAGAGCGGGCAGGTGGAGTTTCCTCAAATTCGCAGACCCCAAACCATCAGGATCCTGGAGCCACACTGTCCCACAGAACCTTCTACAATGATGGAAATGCCTTTTACTTTTACTTTTACTGTGCTGCCCAATTTGGTGCCACTAACCATGTAAAGGCTATTGGGCACAGGAGTGTGGCTAGTGACTAAGGAGGTGATGTTTATATTAAATTTAAATGTGCACGGCTACACATGGCTAGCGGCCACCCTACAGCCCAGAGAAGGTGTGAGCTCCATCTGCCCCTGCTCTATCCCTGGCAGGACCCCGGGCCTCTCTGGAGGGATCTGCTGAGTCTCTTCTTGGAAAGACCCCCTTTCTGTCCCGCGGCTCACCACTGGGAAGCTCTTACAGCGGCCGGACTGCGTGTTACAGATCCCACCTGAGGGACCTTGGCTCTGTTCCCAGAGGAGGAAGCAGGCAGCACTGCAGTGGAAGGAGCCCAGATCCCTGGCCAGGAGGAAGGTCCTTCCCCTCGCACAGCTAGCTGGCTACCCACAGGGGCCCAGCAGGGAAAGGCAGCAGGGGTGGGGCTTGGAGGAAGCAGTGAAGGGTGGCTGTGGGGCCAGGGGGCTATGGTGGGGGGCCGGGCACAGGAGGGGGCAGGACAGAGTGTGGGTTCAGTACACACTTTTCATGGCGGTACAGACTTTTGCAGATGTGATCTTACTGAACGCCCAACATGCCCTATGAGGCCGCACCTTAGAGGCAAGTAAAGCTCAGAGAAGGTAAGTAACCGGCGTGGGGTCACACAGACAGGAAGAGACAGAGTGGGGATCTGGACCCACGTGTGCACGGCCTTTAAGCTGGTGGGGCGGGTGCTTACGTCCTGCTGGAGACGGTCTACGGACATTGTAATGTCCGCGGATCCGGGCTGCCTGTAGTTCTCGGCCAGAGTCCGGGCCAGGTGCTGCTTTAGTTCGTCACTGAGCTGGAGAGCGGAGAGGGAAGGCGGCATCAGCGGAATCGCTCAGGCCCGTCTTGCCCCCTAGGCCCACCCCTAGCCAGGCCAGCTCATTCCCAAGCACCGGGCATGCTGAGCGGTGTGAGGGCGGAGGGGTCCCAATGTAACGGGAGCGTCCATAGGAGACGGCACGGGACACAGGGTTCCTGGAGAGAGGGTGCATAAGCTGGGGCCCTGATGTTAAGGCCAGAGAGGAGATGGGCAGAGCTGCGACGTGGGCTGGGGAGGGACCGGTTCAAAGCCAGTGGGAGGACAATGATCCTGGGCCCCGGGGAGGGGAAAGTTTAAAATATCTTTTTCATTTGATCATGAGGCGATACTCAAAATATTTACAGTTGTTACCCTGTGGGAAGCCATCGGTTGTACGGGTACTGGCTTAAAATAACCGGTGAGGTCATCTGTCTCATCCCGGTCATGATCTCGAACCCCTGACTCCCAGCACCTGGTGGGAGGGCACCTGACTGGCCACTTTGTCCTTGACCGACGCAGGTAGGCGAGGCCTGGGATGGTCTTCATAGTCTGGCAGGCAGCCCTGGCCCCAGCCTTGGTCCTTGGATGCCTGACAGCTGGTTTTGTCCTCTATCTCTGCTTTGGAGGGGAGACGGGCCACCCCACCTCCCGTGGGGCGTCCCCACTCTCTGACTCCCACGCTCAACACATCGGCATCCCCAGATGGGGCAGAGAATTGCCGGAAGTGGGACAAGAAGGAGGACCTGATGTGCCGAGGACTGATGGGGCCCGGGAGACAAGACCCCCCTGGGGTGTCACTGCCCTAACTCCCCTTCCTGTTCACCCCACCCCATGCTGTCGCCTCCGGGGTGGGGGTGGGGCTGATGGGGAACCTAGCAGGACACTTGCACTCACCCTTTGGTAGTACAGGTGGGCCAGGACCCCCGCCACCAGCTCAACCAGGAAGATCACCAGCAACAGGCAGAAATACTAGGAGAAAGGAGTGAAGGTGGTCACAAGGATCAGGCCCCAGTAGGCAGATGGTTCTTCCTATGACAAATGTCTCCCCCAAGCAGTGAGGGGGGTGGGGTGACCCGCCAGGGACCCCATCACTCATACCATCTTCCACCTCTTCCCAACAGCTCTGGGTAGACTTGCCTTTCCCAGCTGCTGGCATGGAGTTCCCCACTCACCCCTTCACCCACTGGTCTACTGTCAGTTCCTTAGTCCACCCACCCATCCAGTGCTCATTAAACACCCACTACGTGCTGGATATCCTAAGTAAGACAGTCATAGCCCTCAAAGTTATGGGTTGGCGGGGGCGGGGCACAGATAAGTAAGTGATTATAATGCTGTGTTACAAACATTACAAGGGGGCAAGCCCCAGAAAAGATGGGCGGTCCTGGGTGGAGGAAGGCAGTCAAAGAAGGCTTCCTGGAGGAGGTGACACCTGAATGGCATCTCTAAGGAGGAGCTTCCAGGTGAAGAGGGCAGGAAGCATGTGCCAGGCAGAGGGGAGAGCATGTGAAAAGCCTGGAGAGCGCAGAGGGAAGTGGAGGGAGCAGAAGAGGCTGGGCAGCCGCCAAGGCTCAGGAAATTGCAAAAGGCACCTGCCCGGGGAAAGGTTTGGGCCCTTCATGGCCCTGTAGTGGGTTCTAAATTCCGGTCGCCACCACTGCCTGGCCTTGTCCAGGCTTGCGGCTGCTCTGCATGCTTCCTAGCCTGTGGGCTGGTTTCCTGGCTGTGCTTTCGGCTGTGACCTTTCCTGTCTGTGCGAGGCAGGAGGCTCTGGGACACTGTTCCATCCTGGGGTGTTCTTGCAGGGGCCAACAGGTCAGACATGTGTGTGGCTAGGAGAGGACGGGAGGGGCTCCAGGCAGGGGAGAGGGGACAAAGGGAGGGGGAGAGGAGGAGCAGGGGAGCACTGCTGCCTGAAACGGGAGCCCTCTGTAGCAGCCCAGCAGCGACCCATGCCCCATGCACAATAGTTGGCGACACCTCCTTCTCCCCCAGGCATCACCCGTCAGCCTGGCCATGGTCACAGGGATCCCTGGATTGCAGGACATACACAGCCTCTGAAGGAGCCCTGAAACTCCAGGGCTCCTCCAAGTAGGGGAAGGAATGCTGGCAGGAGGGGACGTGATGAGAAGACAGCTGGCAGGGCAGGGGCTGTTGGGCCAATTGGGGGGTGATGTGAGTCCACGGGCCCAGAGGCCTTGCCTGACTATCTCCCAGAGCCCAGCATGGAGCCTGGCATGGGCAGGACTTAAACACAGAGAGAGGAGAGGATATTTCTTTTCATGAAGAACATTCCATCCACGGCCAAGTTAAGTCAAGTCAACTGCACGCCTCACCCACAGCCATTTTACTGAGCCCGAGGTCTCTCAGGCTCACAACTGCCCACCCCCCAGGGTGAGGGAAGCATTCCAGGCTCTGAATGATGGTGGCAGGCCTGCCCTTAAGGCAAGAGTCCAAAAGGAGGTCCCTGGTACCTCCTCCCCTATATGCCCAGGCTCTGTGCCACCCCAGGAAAGGCCTCTTGCCTGCATGTCCGAGCTCCGTCCATACCCCACCAGGATCAGGCACCACCCCCGGCCACCCTTAGGTGAGGTTGTGGAGAAGGCTGGTGCGGTGGAGTATGGAGGACACAGCAGCCTTATCAGCCCTGTGCGGCCTCTGGATGGAGGCTAAGGCTGTCTACAATCTCCTAGGCACCTGGGGTGAGGTCTAGAAATGGGGGAGGAAGATGCAGGCCCACGAGGGCATATTTCCTGGGCCTTGGGGGTTTCTCAAACCCCGGGAGAGGTCTGCTGAAGGCCCTGTGTGCCAGGGGCAAGGGAATGTGTGGGGTGCTGTGCAGGTCAGCAGGCAGGGGCTGACAAGAAGCCTGTGGATGGGCCCTCTCTGCCTGAGGAGGTCTGGAAACCTGAAGAACGGTGGTGGAACGTCAGTGGGCTCTGGTGGGCCCCGGGCTCTGCCACCTGCAGGCTCTGGGAGACACGGGTCTGGCGTCCCAAAGAGAACACGTGGCTCTGAGAGTCGGACGAGTTGGATTTTGGCCTCCTCAAGTCCTGCACACAGTGCAGCACCCAGGGCCATACACGGTGGCCGTACCGGTGGGACCGAGCCCGTGGATGGGGGGGAACGGCCCCTTCAATGTCCTGTCCACCCCGAGCAGCTGGAAGGAGCCAGAGGGAGGAAATTAAGCTTCACGGTGGTCTGACCTGCTTCCCACTCCCAGAGCTTGTGGGTGACAGACAGCCCGAGGGGAGCCAGACTTGTCAGCCAGTGGCAGGCCCAGTGGCCTGGGCCAGGCTGTTCCCGTCCTGAGACAGCCCAGAGTGGCACTGACATCCGGCAGCTCCTCTCGGACTCGGCTGCCCTTCCTCTCACTCCAAACTGCCCCCCACAGCCCCCTGAGCACAGCGCTTGGAGGCTATCCCCCTCCCGCCACACAGGACCCTGCGTGCAGGGACCACCAGTCGGCGGCTCCCAGGCTCCCCGCTGCACCCCCAGCTGCCCTCTGGGGCATGGGAGGCAGAGCCGAGGGAGCTCGTAACTGAACAGGACCACGCTGGCCACTGAGAGCAAGAAGGACAGCATCTTGGCGTCTGGCTGCCTTCCCTCTGTGGGGGTGGGAGAGGCTCCTCTCCCCCTCACTGCTCACGATCCCTGATCACGGAGGACTGTCAGCCGAGAGTCACGCTGGATGGTGTCATGAAGACTCGGCAGTGGCATGCCACTCCCCGGGGAAGTCACTGCCACTGCTGGTGCTGACGCTGCGCTGGGAAGGGGGTGACGGGAAGGGAGAGACCTGAACCACATCCCTGACGTCACGGCAGCCTGCGCTAGTACATGCCAGCCCCTCAAACCTCTTGGGAGGCATCACACGGGCTACCCCACCGGACGGAGTTGTCAGGAGTGGGGACAGGGCTCCCTCTCGCCCAGGAGCCCCAGCTGCTCAGACGCCCTTGGGGTTTTGGGGGGCCGACAGCGGGCTGCCAGGGAGAGGACAGGCTGGGTGGCTGGCAGGCATGGGCACGGGCCCCAGGCAGTGGCTTCGGTGGCGGGAGAGCTGCAGGTGCGTGACTCACCTACGAGGGGGAGGCCATGAATCACGGCTCCCAGGAAGCAGGCGAAGGTTCATGCTTGATGGGATCCTCCTGCATGGAGGGTCCTGGCGGCTCTGCCTCTGGAGCTGGCGGGCTGGAGCCCTGGGGAGTGCGGCCAGGCTAGTGGTGGTTTGCCACGCGAGGCCACGAGCTGTGACAAATGCCTTGCCTTTGCCACTTCACCTTCCACTGTTACCAAGCCTCCCTGACCCCCTCAGTGTGCTGCATCACCCCAGCATGTCTCCGGCACAGGCTAGCCGGCCGCAAATCTGCAAAGCACTGCTGTTCCTGCACACGGTTTTCTAAACACGGGCCGAGCCGTCCGGCTTCCGGGTGTTTGCCCGCAGTGTCCCCCTGCCTGGAATTCCAGGGCCTGCCTGTCCTTCATCACCCAGCTCGGCCGTGGCCTCCCCTGAGCCCTCCCTAGTCCACAGTGGGTGCTGGCCCCCAGCCCACAGGGTGTTTCATCTGCTCCCCCTTCGACACAACATTCTGCGTGGCTCCTTCTCCCCAGCTAGACTTTGGCCCGTCCCTGCATCAGCCCTCGGCCTGCCACCCTGTTCCTCATGGGCGGGGTGGGGGACGCGACCTTGCCTACTACTCTGTGGAGGTCTCCCTCGCTTCAGGTGTTATGGCTCCATCTCCCTAGAACGCCTGTGGGCTTCTGGTGCTTTTGGGTCTTTCCCAGTGCCCGGAACGGGGTTAGGTCTAGACGCACGCTCGGTAAACATCACCAGATCAAGATCTGTGGGTGCCCTTCTTACCAAGCATGGTGTGGGGCCGAGGGGACAGGCCATCACATGCCAGCCCCATGCTGGGGGGCAGGAGCTTGGCCATCTTCTGATCCGTGGGGGGCACGGAATTGTTACTGTAGTTTAATTGGTACCGGTGGTTCTCAAGGGGGCACGATTTTGCCCCCAGGGGACAATATGGCAATGTATGCAGACATTTTTTTATTGTCACACCTGGGGAAAGGAGGCCTCCAGGCATCTTGCGGGGAGAGGCCAAGGATTCTGGCAAACATTCCCCAGCACACAGGACAGGCCCTGTGGCAAAGAACGATCTGGACTAGAGTGTCACAGGTGCCAAGACTGAGAAACTGGTTTACACATTCAACTTCAGATCTGAAGCCTTCTGATTTGCATATGTGCCCCTCTGCCCTCTGGGAGACATGAAAAGGAAGGTCTGAGGCAGGCTGTCTAGTTCCCGAGAGGCCTGGGACTGAACACAGACAGAAGCACGCGAGGTGCTCCCTCTGTGCCTGCCTCGGAGGGGACTCTAGCAGGAAGTGGCTCTCCCTGGCTCCAGGAAGGGCCAGGAAAGCCTCCAGGGCTTCGGTTCCCAGGCCCTGGGGTGCTGGGGGCTGTCGTGGGGATGCTATTAGCCCAGGTGCCTCCTGAAATGTCACAGCTGGCTGTCCCCTGGCTTCCCCCATGGGAGCCCTGGGAGGGCTAGGCCGCCGCTGGCTCCAGGAAGTGTGAAGACAGCCCCGGGGGGGACAGACCTCAGACACCCTGTGTGTAACTCGGAGGTGTCCCACTTCAGTGTAAGTCAGGACTTACCGGGCCCTGGGCTGTCCGGCTCCCCCGAGCTAACCAAGCCAGGGCAGGGTCCATGGGCCTAAGGTGCAGGAGGCAATAACCCAGCTCAGGGTGCGCCTCTGCGCCCAGCAATTGCACTACTGGGTATTTACCCTAAAGATACAAACGTAGTGATCCGAAGGGGCAAATGCACCCGAATGTTTATAGCAGCAATGTCCACAATAGTCAAACTATGGAAAGTTGAACCTAGATGTCCATCAACAGATGAATGGATAAAGAAGATGTGGTATATATACACAATGGAATACTATGCAGCCATCAAAAGAAATGAAATCTT